GGGGGGGTCATCCTCCCCCTCTTTTTCCTCCTCCTCCTCCTCCTCCTCCTCCTCCTCCTCCTCCTCCTCCTCCTCCTCCTCCATTCCTTCTCCGTGTAGATAATTCCTCCCTGTCGCACCCCGAGGCCAGCTTTTAGAGAGGGCCGGGCGTTTCGCCTGAGACTTCACCACCATGTATGACTCTGAAGCTGAAAGAATGGGAACAGTTTCACAGATGGAGGGCGGGTGGTTTTCAAAATGTGGCTCTCGTCTCAGCGCCGCGCACACTCGTCGTTTTCAAAGCTTGCAAGCGCTTCACGGAATTAGGGCGGTTCCTTTTCAAAACGTGGCTCTCGCGTCAGCGCCGCGCACATTCGTTCTAAAAGTTTGCAGGAGCTTCACGGATTGATGGCGGCTCTTTTTCAAAAGGTGGTTCTCGCCTTAGCGCCGCGCGCATTCGTTGTAACAAATTGCGAGAAGTTCACGGATTGAGGGTGGGTCGTTTTCAAAATGTGGTTCTCGCTTCAGCGCCAAGAGTTTCACGGGTTGAGGGCGGGTCGTTTTCAAAATGTGGTTCTCGCCTTAGCCCTTAGCGCCGCGCACATTCGTTTTATCGTTTTTCGCATAAAAAAAGACGCAAGAGCTTCACGGATTGAGGGCGGGTCGTTTTCAAAATGTGGCTCTCGCCTTAGCGCCGCGCGCATTCGTTTAAAACATATTGCAAGAGCTTCACGGATTGAGGGCGGCTCCTTTTCAAAATGTGGTTCTCGCCTCAGCGCCGCGCACATTCGTTTTTAACATGTGCAAGAGTGTCACGGATCCCCATGATCAGCGTACCAGACATGGTGTTTTGGAAGGATTCAGGGTTGTGCGGGCGCAGCAGTTATGTTGATAAGCTGTGTTGAAGTCCAAAAGATGGCGCTCTGGCACGATTCTGGATCGTCAAGCTGTCGTCTTCCAACGAGGCAGCTTCCTCAATGGAAATTAACCGTTGTAGGGGCCTGTGAAGAGGGAGGGAGCTTGGAGGGAGGGTTAATTCCAACATCGTTGATGACTCTTGGGTTTCCACTGGTCCTCCTCCTCTTCCTCCTCCTCCTCCGCCTCCTTCCCCCCTCCAACTTATGGTGGTGGTGGTGGGCAACATGCCCATCATTCTCGATTCGATGCTGAGTGATCTTGCACTCTTTTTCTTTTGACGCATCCCCTGGCACCCATTCGTCCGCTCACATATTTCGGGCCATGATGTGCCTTCCCCTCCCCTCCCCCCCCTCCTCTCTCTCCTCCCTCTCCCCTCCCTCCTCCGCCCCCCCTCTCCTCTCCTCCCCCATCCACCCTCCTCCTCTTCTCTCATCCCCCCTCCACCCTCCACCCTCCTCCTCCTCTCCTCTTCTCCTCCTACCCTCCTCTCCTCGCATCCCGTCCCGTCCTGTCGACTCGGCTCCGGAGCGCGAATCGTGGCCCACAGAAGGCTCTCGTCGAGCTCTAGCTCATGGAATGGGCCTCGACCTCCTCGCCGTCGTCCTCGCACTCGTCGTCGTCGTCGTCGCTGTCCTCGACGTCCTCGTCGTCGTCGTCGTTGTCGTCGTCGGCCTCTTCGCCGTCGTCGTCGGCCTCCTCGCCGTCGTCGTCGTCGTTGTCGCCGTCGTCGTCGTCGTCCTCGACCTTCCAGGGGGCGAAGAAAACAGCAAAATGGTGAGGTGAGAGTCTGCTTACGGTAGGTTCGCGTCTTGTCGACCAGCGGCGACCCCGCCGCCAGCGTTTCACGTTCAGCGCCGCCGGCGACCCAGAATCGGTCGAGGTTGACCGATCTGACGCTTCGGAAGCGGCCGCTCGTTCAAGGTTGAACGCTCCCCGCGGTGTCAGCAGCGCCGAAGCCGGCACGACACGAGGCAGCGGTGCCCCCCCCCGTCCTGGCCCCCTCCGCGGCGCGCCCGAGCGCTTCCTTTTTTTACAGGGGAACGAACGCAATGACATAAACTTAAAAGCTCGGAGGTCCGCGCGGATTTCTCGGATCCGCGCCGGGCCCTCCCTTGGCGGCACCTCCGGCGCCGCCCCTGGCGCGCGCCAGCGCGCCGGAGAGGGGGCCCGGCGCCGATCCGAGCAGGCCGCGCGGACCTCCGAATTTGGATGTTTGCGCCATGCTTCGTCCCCCTGGTTGTTCTTCTCTTACCAGCCTGGAGCATACCCCTATCCCTATGCTGGGCACCTCCTCATCACGATGCCAATCCTGGGGACTCCCTTGTTTTTGGAGGGCGCATCCCTGAGATTGGCACCGCCTCTTGGCGTGTCCATCTTAGGGGTAGGGACACGCTCGAGGCTGGTAACTCTCACCTGCAGGGCGGCCGTGCCCCCCCGGGGGGGTCGTGCGGCCCCCGCCCTCGGCGGCGAGCGGGCTGGCGCGCGCCGCCCCCACCCCACCGGCCTCCTCCGTGGCATCCTCCACGGGGGCCTGGCGCCCCCCGCCTGCTCTCGCGGAGGAGGAGGAGGAGGAGGAGGAGGAGGAGGGAGAAGGAGGAGGAGGAGGAGGAGGAGGAGGAGGAGCAGCCCCCGTCGGCCTGGGCCTTCCGTACTGGGTGCGGGCAGAAGGGGTCGGAGGCTCGCGCCGCATCGCCGGTGCCTCGGCGATGCGGCGCGCTGTGGAGCCCGGCTTTCTCTCCGCGCCGGCGTCGCCAGTGCACCGCCGACGTCGCCGATGATGCATCGGCAGTGCATCGGCGACGCATCGGTGATGCATCGGCGATGCGGCGCGGTCCTCCGACCCCATCTGCTCGGACCCCATCTGCTCGGACCCCCGTCTCGAAGGCCCTCCGAGGGGGTCTTGTGCTGGTGGGTTCTGAATGTTTGTCTGGATTAAGTGTTGTCCAGCGGTCGTTGTTGTTTACGATGTTGCTTGTCATGCGCATCGCATCCGCTTGCTCTAGATACCCACGGCGGCTGGAGGCCAGGTTTCAGCTGGGCCGTGTACGGCGAATCCGTTCCAAGGTTAGTTTCAAGGTTTATTCGTGGGTGGGTAGTTCTTCTCCTCCTCATCATCCTGGTACCATGTTTACCACCATACTCATCACCATCATCCTCATCACCACTAACACAGTCACTCCCTATATAATCCATCATCATCAGTAGCATCAATAGCATCATCAACAACAACATCATCATCATCTTCATCATCATCATCATCATCATCATCATCATCATCATCATCATCATCATCATCATCATTATCATCATCATCATCATCATCATCGTCATCACTATCAGCAGCATCATCATGATCACCATCATCATCAACAGCATCATCATTATCATCATCGACATCATCATCATCAGTATCATCATCGCCAGTAGCGTCAAAAGCATCATCGCCACCATCAGCATCATCATCGTCATCATCATTACCACCATTCTCATTATCGTCGTCACCGTCATCACCATTATCAACGTCATCATCATCGTCACCATCGTCATCACCATACTAATCATCAGCATCATCAGCATCATCATAATCACCATGCTCATTACCATCATCATACTTGCCAGTATCATGACCACCACCACCATCATTGTCATCATCACCAGCATTATCAACAGCACTATCATCATGACCATCATCATCAGCATCATCATCATCATGGCCATCACCATCACCATCAGCATGATCACCATCATCCAGTATCATTGCCATCATCATCATGATCATCATCATCATCAGCATCATCATCACAATCAACATCATCATCATCATCATCATCATCATCATCATCATCATCATCGTCATCGTCATCGTCATCGTCATCGTCGTCATCATTACCATCATCCTCATCGTCATCGTCATCATCATCGTCATTATCATCAACTTCATCATCATCATCATCATCATCATCAACATCATCATCATCATCATCATCTTCATCATCAGCAGCAGCAGCAGCATCATCACCATGATCCGCATCCTCTCGCGAGCCTGGGGGGGCCTCCAGACGCGAAGTCGATTCAAGAGGCGTATGACCCTCCGCTGACCCCCCAGAAGGCGATGTGCGGCTTCAGGTCTCGTCTGTGCTGCTTGCCCCTCCCCGTGGACCTCACAGGGGGCCTCCAGAGGGCGCGGTGGGGGCCTCGGGGGCCCTGCTTTGGGGGACGGGAGGGGGCCGGGGCCCTTGCGAGTTCTCTCCCCGGGCCCTCTCTTGGGCCACTCTTGAGCGGCCTTCCCGGCGGTCTGGGGAGCCTCCTCCTCCTCTTCTCCTCCTCCTCCTCCTCTCCTCCTCCTCCTCCTCCTCCTCCTCCTCCTCCTCCTCCTCCTCCTCCTCCTCCTCCTCCTCCTGCTTCTCCTCCTCCTCCTCCTCTTGGGTCATCCGGGCGCGTCCCCGGGCTCTCGTAGGGGCCCTCTTGGACCCGTCCTGGGCTGGTCTGGGGAGCGGCCTCGCGGGCCGCCTCGGGCTTCTGGAGGCCCGGGATGCCGAGAGCGTTTGTCTTGTCTGCTTTGGGGGGGGGGTAAAACATCAGCCCTCTCGGAGTTCTGCTGGGGCCTCTTGGGGCGTCTTGGGGGGCCCTTGGGCCGTCTTCCGGTGGTCGTCTGTGTTCTGGAGTCCCCTCGGGCGTATTGGAGCCCGTCTGGAGCCATCTTACGGGGCATCGTCACCATTTCTGAGCCGTCGGAGGGTGCATTCGGATGCTCTGGGGCCTGGGAGGCGCTTTGGTGAGCTCGCCCCTCCCTCCTCCCTGCAACGGGGTCGCGGATCCCCGGGGAGGGCCCCTCAGAGGCGGGCCCTTTGCTGCCAAGGCTTCCTGACCGAAGCTGGCTTGCGGCGTAATGAGATCCTCGGCTCGGAGTTCGTTCTCCTCGGTTTCCTCGCTTGCCCGTGCCATCTTCACTTGGAAAAGTTCCCGGGCGTAGGGCCCCACCGTGGGGGGGGGGGTCTTGCTGAGGCCGGGTGGGGGGAGGGTTCTCGCAGAGGCGCCGTCTCAGGCCATCTCCTCCCAGCCTCCCCAGAGGCCAGCAGCTCCTCGCTCGCTGGGCCGCGTGCATGGTAGTTTTTTGGTGGCACGGCCGGGCAAGACTGGCCCGCGCAGCGCGAGAGCTGGAGAGCAGTGCGCCGGAGGGCGCGCGAGCAGGGGGCAGGCAGGCTGGCGGAGGGGGCGGGCGGACGAGGGGCACGGGGCTCGTTTCGATTCCTCCGATTCGATTTCTATTCGATTCCGATGGCTTCCGATTCCGATTCGATTCGGCTTCGGATTCCGATATGGACGCCGATTCCTCGATGGAGGCCCGCTGGCCTGTCGACTTCTCCCGCGCCGACTTCTCCCGACGTGGCTGCCGACCTCCGCCGATCCGATGCATGTCGATCTCGATCGCCGATCCGACTTGCCGAACACGGGCACAAAGAGAGGGGGGAAGAGGGAAGGGTGTCAGGGCGGAGGAGCCGGCCGAGGGGCGGCGGCAGAGGCAGGGAGGGGGGCTCGCCGGGCGTGGAGGGAAGGCCCGCCCAGACGAGTCGATGGAGGATCTCTGCGCCAGTGTACGCTGCACTGGCAGTCGCAGCGTGCCAGCGTGAAGTCGGGCCTGTCCCTCCACAGGAGGGGTATTCAAAAACAGTCACAAACAAAAATAGTCCGGGGACGATTTGTCGATTATATGTTTGTTGGGGTTACTTTTGAGTATTGTTTGACAATTTTTAATGTTTCATCAAAAATCCGCCTGTGAGAGGACACGCCCGACCGAACTCTGAACTGGCAGTCGCAGTGTGCCAGTGCGGTCCACCGTCGGCTTCGGTGATCGACGTGTATCTAGCTGGATGCGTTGGGGCCCTGGCAGCTTGCGTCGAGCAGCGGCGAAGCGTCCCCCGGCGAAGCGGCTCCAAGAATGTGTTGCGGTCTGCTCGAAGTGTTCCTGCAACAGTTCTGGCTGAGACAGTCTTGTCTCAACACATCGGGTTCACGTTCCAAGAACCCTGCTTCCGTTCCTGACAAATCTGTGGGTTCTGACAACACGTCGTGGTCGGCCAAGAGGAGTGCCGCAACGGTCGGTCCCTGCCCAAAGTTCACTACGGGGCGGAGAGGATGAGGAGAAGGCGGAGGAGGAGGCGGAGGCGGAGGCGGAGGCGGAGGCGGAGGAGGAGGAGGAGGAGGAGGACCGCTCCCGCCCCTGCCCAAAGTCTGTGAGGTCCGCGCCTACGTCTTCGAGCGCCCCCGACGTCGGGGGCCCGCCCCCCCCGACGGCGAGGGCCCGCTGCCCCGCTGTCGTGGCCCCCCGTTGCCGCCCCCCCATCCAGGTGTCGGAAACATCTAAGCAACACTCATGCAGAACATATGGTTTGAGCAACACTCATGCAGAACATATGGTTTGAACCTCCCCCCCCCTCCCCCCAAATGCAGTCTTGGTTTTTCAGATCTTCCGATGTTGGGCCTCCAAGCGGTCTTGCGAAAACCTGTCAACTTTGGATTGCGGGGGAGGGGGGGGAGTGGTGCTTAATTGTTTCCCTCAACCGTCGCTCCCCCCGCAGTGCCCCCCAGCGTGGCGGGGCCCCCGAGCGTTCAAAGCCCCGAGTCACGTTCGTCGTCGTCGTCGCCGCCGTCGTCGTCGTCGTCGTCGTCGTCGTCGTCGTCGTCGTCGTCGCCGTCGTCGTCGTCGTCGTCGTTGTCGTCGTCGTCGTCGTCGCCCTCGTCGTCGTCGTCGTCGTCGTCGTCGTCGTCGTTCGTCGTCGGCCTTCATCGTTCGTCGCTCGTCGTTCGTCGTCGTCAGGGCTAACTCGGGCTCGTTTTTCGGGAAGCCGAACCCGAGTTACCCCGGGCCCGAGTTGCCCCGGATAGTTCGAGCGTCCAGAGCCCCAAATCATCAGGGGTAACTCGGGTCAGGGCTGACTCGGGTTCGTTTTTCGGGAATCCGAACCCGAGTTTCCCCGGGCCCGAGTTACCCTTGATAATTCGGGCGCCCGAGAGATCGGCGGCTTGTTTCCTAGGCATCCCAGATGGGGTCCGAGCAGATGGGGCCGGGAGGTTCGCGCCGCGTCGCCGATGCGTCGGCGATGCGGCTCGATGCGGAGCCCGATCTTCGCCACGCCGATGGCGCCGATGCACCGCCGACGTCGCCGATGCATCGCCAGTGCATCGCGATGCATGGCCGATGCATCGCCGACGCATTGGCTATGCGGCGCGATCCTCCGACCCCATGTGCGCCGACCCCACCAGGGAGGCATCTACCATTGCGGCGGGGCCCCCGAGATCGGTGGCATGTTGGCCCCCCTGATGGTGGCCCCCCATCGTGCTTGCTTGTGCAAGGCTGCCTGGCGCCCGCCTGCTGCCGCAAGGGTGGCCTGCGGAAGGGGGCTCTATCAGGCACCCGAAGACGGAGGAGGAGGGCTAGGCGGAGAAGAGGAGGAGGAGATCGCCATGGAGGGTGCTTGAGAATTGCCCGTGCACCAGCGACAGCCAGACCACAAAAATGGCAACGCATAGGCCTAACAAGGTACCTTGGTGCGGCCTTTCCCCGCCCAGGTTGCACCCTTCCATGAGAAGCACGCCAGCATTACAAGCTTCCCCCCTTTGGCAGACGAGTCAGCTTCGCAACTAAGACAAATGGAAGCGTGGGGGGGGGGAGGCAGAAGAGGGCAGCAGGGAGGGCTGCAGGCAGGCAACAGAGGACCAAGCAGGCTTCCTCCCTCGCTTCGATTCTCGAGCCGCTTTGAGGCTCCGATCCTGACCACTTTCGAGCCGCTCAGAGAGACGACACAGCACCATCGCCGTGCCGCCCCGCCTCCCGAGGGGCATCACTCCCTCGGGCGACCGCTCCACCCCCACACGCGCCACGGAAGGGGACCGTGACCGCGGGAAGAGTGTGTGCGGATCCGTCGACGAACCCCCCTGCAGGGGACTCGCGAAACCTCTTGAGCCCTGGCGCGTGCCAGGTGGGCCACTGCACGGGTGTCGCAAACGTGACGACGAGGAAGCGTGGCTTTTCGTTCCACAGGGCGCCGCCTGCGTGCCGCACCAGCGCAACGGCCCCCGCCCGCCCTAGGGCAGGAGGAGGAGGAGGAGGAGGAGGAGGAGGAGGAGGAGGAGGAGGAGGAGGAGGAGGAGGAGGAGGAGGAGGAGGAGGAGGAGGAGGAGGAGGAGGAGGAGGAGGAGGGGAGGAGGAGGAGGAGGAGGAGGAGGAGGAGGAGGAGGAGGAGGAGGAGGAGGAGGAGGAGGAGGAGAGGAGGAGGAGGAGGAGGAGGAGGAGGAGGAGGAGGAGGAGGAGGAGGAGGAGGAGGAGGAGAGTGAGGAGGACAAGGGTCACGAGCAGCCAGGTTGAGAGCAGGGGGGACGGGAGGATGGGGTGTGGTTTGGGATGTTTACCAGTTTCTAGAGGACGGAGAAGGATCTGGGACACTATAGTAGAGATTCGAGGGGCGGTGTGGATCCGCATGAATTCTAATGGTCTCGCTTGATTTCGGAAGCTGGCTCGTATGGATTCCTGCGAAACTGTTGCAGTACCATCCTTATGTGCTGGTCATGGCTTCCGCTGGCTGCCAGATCACTCTTCCTGGATCCAGCCTGACAGGTTGGCTGGAGAGGGGAGCCATCCGTCATTTCGCGTCGCCCAGGCTCTGTCACCACTGATCTGAAGGGCTCCGCCACGCAGGGAGGCATGAGAGGGGTTTGGGCCGCTGTGTCGCGTTGCCGGGCCTCTGTCTACGCCAATTTGGCTGCCCTCGACAGACTGGAGGGGGGCCGCTTATTTCGCGCCGCTTCGCAATGGTGATCGCCGATTCGGCGGCCTCCGCTGGCGAGGCGGCAAACATCGGAATATTCAGACAGAGTCTGGGTTCGGGGGGCGGACGCGGGGGCCGCCACAGTAGTGAGCTGCAAGGGCCATGGGTTCGAAGTGGCTGTTCCCGCCCATCCCTCCCGCGTGCCCATCTCCCGTTCTCTCTCTTCAATCGTGCGCGAACCATCGTTCCACTATGCACAAGCAGCCGTTGCACCGTGCGCAGAGATGTCTTGCACGAGCACTGGGACTGACGTTTTCGGTTTGCTGCGCCCTGTCCGGACTCGCGCTGTCCACCGACCGGTGCTGTGCTGCCCTGTAGGAGATCCAGGCACCCGGCCATCGGAGGCCAGTCGTCGGGTGTGCCAGAAGTGCACCCGCCCCACGCTTCTCGCGCCATTTTGGGGCCCCTGCGGCCGCGTGAGGGGTGCTTTGGAGGCCTTGTGGGCCTCTCGGAGAACCCCAAGGGCACCTTGGGTCAGAGACACTCTTGGCGAAAGCCGAAGTCGGGGCGCCGGGGCCTTCCCCTTTCGGAGGTCGCAGTGGGCTCCGCGCGGCCAGTCGGAGGGCCACCGCGACGGGCAGAGGAAGGTGCGCCACGGAGTCCCAGGGGATCGCGGGGCCGATGGCGCAGATCGGGGGCGTCCAAGAGGTGGAGTGAGGACCAGGGTGGGAGGACACGTTGGCGCGGCCACGAGAGGTCCCGAATCTCATGGCACCTTCTTCCTCGTTCAGTACGCCCCCTGGCCCGCCCCTCGTCCGCGGGCTTGCTCCGGGCACTGATATATATATATATATATATATATATATATATATATATACATACATACATATCCCAGGGGAGCAGGCCCGGAGCCCGAAAACAGCTGCCCCGACCCTCCATGGGGATACCGGGGCTCATTTTCCTTGTGTTTTTTTACAGGGTTTCCGCGTCCTGGGCCTCGGAGGCCGCCGCTTCCGACCCCCCATGGGAGGACGGGGCGGCCGGGGAGGTCCAAAATAGTCCAGGAGGGCCTCCAGAGGCTCCCAAGACGGCCCAAGCGGGCCCCGAGTCGCCGAAAGACCGTTCTAGGACGCCCCAGATAGGCCCAAGACGGCCCGAGAGGCCCCCTAAGGCACTCCACGACGCTTCAAGACGCCTCTCCAGAGCGCTTCTAGAGGCCGAAGTTGCAAATTTTACTGAGGTTTTCGAACGATCTTGGCCTTCCAGCCTTTTCGGCTGTCCGACGTTCCAAGACGGTTCAATAGGCCCCCAAAAGCGCCCCAAGACGGCCCAAGAGGGTCCCAAGACGGCCCCAGAGTCGCCCAAGACAGCCCAACAGAGCCCCAAGACGGCCCTAAGATGCTTCCGTAGCCATTTTGGCTCAAGTTTGAAACACGTCCCTGGTGCTTCAAACTTGGACGCAGCCGAAGGGGAGGCCCGAGCGTCCATTTCACCCGTGAGCGGCCTCAAGGGTCGCCAAAGGCCCGCCTGTCGCTTCAGCTTTGACACGCACATCTCTAGTCCTTCGTCCCTCTCCCACTGCACAGCGGCCGCCATGCCCACCGCCGACAGGGCTCGCTCTTCGGACTCGTCAGGCAGCTGCGAATCCAGGCGCCGAGACTCATCGTCACGCAGCCGCTCAGACCTTGGTCGCTCTGGTGGCACCAAGGGCAAACGCCCGAAGACTACCGACGGTGAGAAGCTCGATGAAGTTCTCCGCGCGCTCCGAGGTTTCGGATCGCAACTCTCCTCGCAGTCCTACGACATTGGCCTCATCAAGAACCAGGTTGCTGCCCAGACGGTTCGATGCGACCAACTCACGACGAATATGTCAAACCTCGCCAACGACATTCAGTCGAAAGTCTCTCAGCTCGAAAGCCAGAAGTCAGCCATGTTCACTGACTTGAACGACCGCTTCACCGCACTCAAAGGTGAAGTCAACACGCAGATCATGAACGAGCTCCGAGCTCAAGAGGCCCGTTCTGCAATACCAATCTTCGACATGGACGCTGAGCGGGGTGCAGAGGTCCACGCCAAAGTTCAACAACAGATCGCCGCCATCCAGGAGCAGCTTCGCACTATCTCGACGGCTCCATCGGTTGCTAGCACGATCGAGGCACAGCAAGACAACACGTGCACGCTGGTCGCGATCGGATTCCCCCGCAAGATGCTCGCCCGCTCCCTGAAGACGATTGCCGACGCCATGAAGTCTCAGTACGCACCACAGGACGCCCAGTCTCGGATCACCGCCAAATGCTTCGACATGGCCAAGAAGATCCTTCCACTTCGAGAACGCGTCGGACGCCTCGGACTTCCTGACGAACTACAGTCGCGACGGGATCTCCCGTCATCCTGATCCCCTCGCCCCCCAGAGCATGCTCAATATCAAGCTCAATCGGGATCAGGGCATCAAGGGCCGCCAGTTATTCCTCTCCACGGGCAAAGTACGCGCACTCGTCTCCAACTTGTTGGCCCCCAAGGGCGTCGAGGTCGGCAGCAACGGATTGGGAGGTCTTGTGTACGCTTTGAAGTCAGAGAATGAGCTCATCGAGATTGCCCAGATCCAAGTCTCGGGCGACGACCTCTCGATCTCCATCGAGCTCGACGCCGCCGGCCTGAGAGAATTCGGGTTGGAGACCCGGGCCGCCGCCATCCGCGCTGCTGCGATGGTGCCCATAAGGCGCCCCTTTCGACGACGAACCTGATTGCACTTCGGGTGGCCAAGGGGCCACAGTGACACGCACGCCTCCATCTGTTTCTGTGCGCGAGCGTGGTGAGGCTTTGTCTAGTAGCCCTCCCTTTTCCCCCTCTCCTAATTGTCCGCCCTTCGCCCCGAAAGATCCTCTCGCCATTTGTTCGTGGAACGCACGCGGTCTTTTCAGCTCAGTCAAGCACGCTGGGTGGCGTTCCAGTGCGCGCCACTCGCTCCTCCTCTCGCTCCCTCGCAGATGCGCTATCACGTGCTGCCAAGAAACACGCGGACATATAGGAGGTATTGGAGAGCTCCGTCGCGAGCTGGGCTCGACTTCCTCGGGCTGGTCGATCGGCTCCTCGTTCTTCCCTGACTCTCAGCGTGAAGGCGGGGTCATCGCGATTATCAGCAGCGAGTTCAGTCAGCTATTTAACACTGTTACTCATAACACCATTATTACTGGTCGTATCCTCCACAGTCGTCTATCTGGTCTGAATGGGCCCATCAGTATCTTCAATCTCCACCTCCCCAACGCGAGCGACTCCGTTGCCACGGTCTTTTCTGCGCTGTCCTTGCTTCGCTCTGAGTTTCAGAAGTACACGCATGATCATAGGATTTTGATTGGTGGCTTTAACTTCGTCCCTGAAGAAGAGGGGCGGATGCAGCACGATGGGGCGGGATGGAGAGCTGGTGATCGCGCCCAGGCTCGACTTGTTCAGCGCTACTTCCCTTATCTCACTGAATTTTACCAGGAGCAGGACACTAGGCGGGAGGTCAGGGATGGGATCATTACTCACTCAGCTCGGTTGGATCGGGCATATACCTCCCTTCCTCGAGCCATTATACGTGACCTGGACATTCGCTGTGGCGTCCTGGGCAAGCTTAAAGCTAAAATGGCTAGCGACCACATCCCGATTTTCATCAACATCGAACCCTTCAGGCCCCACGATGGCCCCAAAAACATCCCGAAGTGGATCGCGAAGCACCCCGAGATTCAACGTTTCTTGGAGGCCGCCATTGCAGAAATGTCCACGGAGTTAGGACCCTGGCCTCGCCTTGAGCAGCTCAAGGAATTGATGTTCGCCTCGGCCGCGCACGTGCGCGAGTTCGTCAAGCACGAGGTCGCCGACGCGCTAGAGCTTGAACAATACTGGGCGTTGCAGGCACTTCGGGGATGGAGGTTAGGCAAAGATTGGTTGATCCACCGTGCTCTCAAATGTTACCCGACGCTCCAGTCGCACTTCTGCCTTACCACTTTTCAGTGTATCCGCCTGGAGGGCCTTTGCAGTCTTATTCGCAGTGTCCAGATGCAATTGATTGACGAAGAATCTCGTGAACTCGAACTCGCGAACCTCTCCCCTGAAGTTAAAGCCTCCAAGAAAAATCGTGTCAACCGAATGCAGGAACTTTGGCGACGTTTCAAGAGTCGTACCGGTCTGACAGGCATATATGACGAGAGCGGTGCACCCTGCAGGTCTGTCGACCACTCCGCCGAGGTCCTCAGGCCCCATTGGTCTGCTGAGTTTTCCGCTCCTCCCCTGAACGTCGACGAGTGGACCGAAATCGATGCTTTCATTCAGCCTATCCCAGAACCCCTTCCTCGTGCCTGGAAACTTTCATACGGAGAATGGTATGACCATGCGAGGTCGAGGGTCCACAGTATGCCGGGTGAAGATGGGTTGCCATACGGGGTCTGGAAGATCCCTGACGCGTCCCGCCTGTTGTACGATGTCTATCTTACCCTCTTCACTGATGACGTTCACGAGCTGCCGATTCAAATGCGGCGGAGCCTCATGGTCTTCCTCCCGAAGGGCACGGACCCTCGGGACAAGCAAGATGATGTCCTTCGCCACCCCAGCTGCACGCGCCCTCTCAGCATGTCAAATACCGACGTGAAGATCGTGGCTGGTGCCATGTCTTGTACGCTAGCTGCCAACTCTGGCAGCTTGGTCTCGCCCGAACAGAAGTGCGTTGCCGGCAGGGACATGCTCACCAACGTTGTGGAGGCGGAGGGGTGGGGAATCGAAGAACGCGTTCTCGACAAAAAGAAGGCCTGTCTGTTCCTCACTGACTTTTGTGCTGCTTTCCCCTCGCTAGCGATCCCGTGGATGCTGCGCGTACTTGTCATTATGAAGGTTTCCCCCCACGTTTGCAAGTTTTTCAGACTTCTCTACACGTCTAATACCGCCACCATCTGCTTTTGAGGGAGGACCCATGGAGAGTTTATCATGGCCAGTGGTGTCAAGCAGGGTTGCCCGAGTAGTATGCTGCTATTTGTTCTTGCTGCTGACCCTCTTCTTCGATGGGTTCGTTTCAAGGCGTCGGCGCACACCGACAGGACGTTCGCCTATGCCGATGATTTCTGCTTCGGCATCATTGACATCCTCCGTTCCCTGGGCCCTCTCTTCGCCTTGCTCACGCGGCTCGAAAAAATTGCGGGTCCCAGACTCAACTTCAAAAAGTGTCAGATTCTGGTCGTGGGCTCCTTAGATGCGAACCTCCTGAGGGACGCTATCCGGTTGCTCGTGGGTGAGTTCAAAAAGATCCAGGTCCTAGAGGTTGTCAAATACTTAGGTATCTATAGCGGCCGTGGGGTCGAGATGAGTGCATGGGGCGAGGCTGCCCCCAAGTTTCGCCGACGAGTCGGGATCACTCGACAGCTGGGCCTCGGTCGCATACGCTCGGTGCTGGCCTTCAAAGTCATGTGTGTATCCATCTTGTCCTTCACTCTTCAAATTCACCCTGTTTCCCCTGCTCTTATCCACGTGTATAGGAAGGCGGTCATGTATCTCACTGCTGGGCCACGTAACTCACTTTCATACGACCTCTGCACACAGTTAGCTAGCTTCCATCCTCCTTTGGAGTTTCCTGACCTTCGGACCCTCGCCCGGGCAGTCTGCCTACGCTACATTATCCGCAGCAGCACATTCATCGCCACGTTATCGAGGCTGGAAGCCTTGCGGGATGAGCCAGAAAGTACCCTCGTTCGTTTCTGCAGTGGATGGTGGAATTCATCATTCCTTTCATATATGCGCCGTCTGTATGAGTGGTATTTCAGACTTCCTCGTACCCCATCATGTCCGTCATCTCCTATTCTTCTTGCACGTATCCCCTCTGAACACAAAAAACTTCAACATCGGCTCTATATTATGCTCTGGGCAAACACGTCGCGTCGAGAACACCCACACAGTATCCTTCAGAGACGTATCCAGACATGGTTTCCCCTTATACGCCGAGAGATGATTGACAGGTTTTAAATTAATGCCGCTTTCGTGATTCAGAAGACACAGCCGTTCATGATTGTCTCGATCCTCAGATTCCTATCGAGATCTGTCTGTACCTCGACCCGTTTTCACTCGGCAGCGAAAGGCTGCTTCCTGGGGTGCCCACATGCGCAAGGACGAGACCTGGACTCTGTTGCTCACTGTGCCCACTGCCCTCGGCTCTGTCATCTTTTTCATCACTGGCTTGGACACATTCTTCCTTGATCTTCGTCGTTTTCTGAGGGGTTCCCCTGGCTCTTCCCCTCTCTCTTGCTTTCACCCTCACCACGCTCGTCGAATGTTCTCTTTGCTGCCTGTATCGATGCGTTCCTATCTGCCCATTCCGCCAGGCGCAAGGGCACCCCAGGAACTCCAGAGGAGCACTTTGAAGCTCGGTTGCGAGTTACGGTTCGTCGCCACCCTTTTCTCTCGCGTGCGTGGAGCCAGCAGGCCGCCGTGCAGTTCTCCTCTTCCTCCCCCCCCTCCCCCTGCGTGCGTGTCACCGCTGTCGCGGCTGAGGCTTCTCAGCCTGGGCGGGCCACTGCAGGCCGCGGAAGGTGGCTTGAAGTGCCCGACATGGGGTCTTGAGGCATAGTGCCCTCAAGCATCGATAGAAGAACAGGGGTTGTTTGGGATCGCCCCCCCCCAAAAAAAAAAATCCTGGCGAAGGACCCAACCATATACAATCGTGAATACTGCAATTGTGACTATCTTCTCGGTGGAGCCCCCTACGGGGCCACGAAACGCACGAGGGGTGTGCCGAAATGGGCGTGCGGGACGCATGCGGGCACACCCACTAGGGCCTTCGGTGGAACTCCCTATGCGGCCACGAAACGTGTGAGGGAGTTGACGAAATGGGTGTAGCTGACGCATGCGGGCGCGGGCATTGGGGCCTTCGGTGGAGCTCCCTATGGGACCACGAAACGTTTGAGGGGTGTGCCGAAATGGGTGTGGTTGACGCATGCGGGCGCGGGCACTGGGGCCGAGGGGTGTGCCGAAATGGGTGTGGGTGACGCATGCGGGCACACCCACCGGGACCTTCGGCGGAGCTCCCTTTGGGGCCACGGAACGCGTGAAGGGCGTGCCGAAATGGGTGTGGCTGACGCATGCGGGCGCGGGCACTGGGGCCTTCGGCGGAGCTCCCTATGGGGCCACGAAACGCGTGAGGGGTGTGCCGAAATGGGCTGACGCATGCGGGCGCGGGCACTGGGGCCTTCGGTGGAGCTCCCTATGGAGCCACGAAACGTGTGAGGGGTGTGCCGAAATCGGTGTGGTGTGGGTGTGCTCCGGCGCGCGGGCACTGGGGCCTTCGGTGGAGCTCCCTATGGAGCCACGAAACGTGTGAGGGGTGTGCCGAAATGGGTGTGGGTGACGCATGCGGGCGCGGGCACTGGGGCCTTCGGTGGAGCTCCCTATGGAGCCACGAAACGTGTGAGGGGTGTGCCGAAATGGGTGTGGGTGACGCATGCGGGCGCGGGCACTGGGGCCTTCGGTGGAGCTCCCTATGGAGCCACGAAACGTGTGAGGGGTGTGCCGAAATGGGTGTGGGTGACGCATGCGGGCGCGGGCACTGGGGCCTTCGGTGGAGCTCCCTATGGAGCCACGAAACGTGTGAGGGGTGTGCCGAAATGGGTGTGGGTGACGCATGCGGGCGCGGGCACTGGGGCCTTCGGTGGAGCTCCCTATGGAGCCACGAAACGTGTGAGGGGTGTGC